ACCGAGCCTCCACTTCCTGCCCCGTCCGGACAGCTGCAAATGACTCTTCTGTCTGTGATTCGTCCGCATCACGGCCGCATTACTGTGCACGGGGCCAGGGCCGGTTTTCGGTGCCCCCCGGTGCATTGTGGAGGTACAGTAGTCACACAGGGGGAGGAGGTGGGGGGTCGCTCTGCGGATACCCACTCCGGGACTGTATGCACATTAAAAGGCTTTGTTTTTTTTTTTTCCAAGGGCCGCCGGTCTCCCCGGTAGGTTTATCATGTTTCCCCGTTTTTAAACCCCCCCCCCCCCCCCCCACCCCCCCACCCAAGCAACAAAATAGTAGGAGGAAAAGGGAGTTGGGAGACCCTGTTCAAACGCTGCCCATCCAAAGTTACTCACACACACACGTCCTGATGGGTCCGTACAACAGTGTGGGTGTGGTCCTCTCAGATAACCAAGACAGGCACACACACACACACACAACCACACACACTTTCCAGCCTGCCCCCGGGGAAGGGGGGGGGGGGTCTCCTTCTCGTCTATCCTACCTGAAGAGGCCTCTCTGTTCCCCCGACAAAAGGAGGATGATCAAACCCGGGTAAAAGAGACAAGACAAAAGGTGATGAAGGAGAGCCGGGAAGCCTGTTGATGTTAATAACTACTTTCTCTCAAGGACAATGACGGCAAAGACATTAAACCAACGTGCATCCAGGTAGAAACTAGCAACTTAAACCTGCATCAACTTCCTTCACCCTCATGTTTATATAATTTGAAGCAAATCGTTTACACATCATTAGTATTTCATTGGAATTGGGCTTTTTTTCTTTGGATCTTCACAAACTGCTGAGGTAAAACATGTGGTTGGGTAGCAGATAGAAGCTCGGTGTTGTCATGGTGACCTCTGCACAAAAGCCACAACACACTACAGTGATTATGGATATCTTTGTTCACCTTCGTGTCTGTGGCTACCACACGCAAACAGCTTTTATTAAAAAGAAAGAAACGCAAACACATCGAGCTCAGGTTTGACCACAATGAGATAATGAAGTACTTTGTTGAGATAAGCTACATCCTCATACATCATTTCGCAACATGCCAGCAGGTTTTTACACAATATGCAAATAAACCTTGACTTGAAAATCATTTTCCTTTTTTCCCCCCAAATGACACGAATTACATAAATAGAAGAAATGATTCTCCTAAGATGGTCGTTTCTAAACATTAACTTCACACGTTTGTGGGGGGGGGGTTGAGGAGAACTTCCTGCAGTGATGTCATACAATCTGAGCGCACCTGATGACCTCACAAGCTTTGTGAGGAGCATTCGTCACCTTATCGACCTCTCCAAGGTCCTCGCCCTTCAAAACAAGAGCGCTGCGTCACGACGACTCTCACAAACCGGGAGGCCGATCCTCACGCTAACTCGCCCGCATGCGAACACAATACAAAGGCATTAGTGTGACATGTAGCGTGTTGAGCTTATCTCTGATATGTTGAATAGTCTGACTTTATTACCCATTGAACCCGTGATTATAACAACAGGTCCGACGGACTTTGGTCAGCTGGGTAGTTTTCACACTGCAGCTCGACTTTACAAAGCTGAAATGTGTTTTCGCGGCCCGCTCAGTATTCCTTTTAATCAAATCTTTAGGTCTCGCTAAAATATCACGTGTGTGAGAAAAAACAGCTCAGACGACTTCCATCCAAATCTTGTTTGTGGTTTCTTCAACGATCCCCTCTTGCACCTGACGAGTCAAAGACACAAACGACTTCCCCGCCGCTCCTCAACACGTCCATCCGGGGGAAAACCTCCCGTCACGCGAGCACAAAGGAGGAGGTGGAACTACGACGTGGTCACACCTCCAATACGGGGGAGAAGAAACGCCAGAGACCACCAGCTGTTAGCGGATTTTACGAGCGTGACACCTTGCTGCTCGTCCAGATGACCTCAAACACCTCAGAGCAGCGGAGTTCAAAGAGGGATGATGATTTATCAGCATTCGGCTCCTTGATAAAAGGATTCTATCGCTGACTAAATCGGACTCACAGTCTCCCTGTCGGCTGGTGCCTCCAGCAAGTTCCTTATTGCAGCTGCAAACCTATCTGAACCTGATCTAACCTCCCCGATAAAAAAAGAGAAAAGGCCAAACCAGTTAGTTCATCCTCGCAGAGACGGGCTGTGTGAAAGTTCACCGAAAGAATGTAAACATCAGAGTAACGACCGCGCACAGCGAGCAGAATTCTGCACGGTTCAAAAGAACAACTGGGGCCCGAGATCACGCTGCCTCAGGTCTGAAATGTCCCAAAAGTGAAAAGCACCATTAAAAAAGGATTCTGTTTGGTTGGGCTGCTTCGCTACCGTGCACACGTCTACTGTTACCTCACACACACACACACACACACACACACACACACTCTGAGGAAGAGGCCACGTTTCAACACCCAGGATAAGTTTACATGTAGGGCCCACGGCTTTGTGGCCCCCTCGATCTGCTTCCCTCTTTTGTTTCTCGCTCCCTTTCCTCAGACCCCCGACTCGTGCTGTCACATGTGTATACACACACAGACACACACAACTGCCAACTTATGCATCCGAGTGCACGTGCGAGCTTGTCTGTGCGCGGGCGCGCACTTCTCCTGCAGGGTCTTGCCAGCGGGCCCCCGGGGGTTCGGACTCGGCAGGGCGCACAGAGGGGGCCGGTGTGCTGCTGCCCAATGCACCGCATGAGTGCTTCAGTTTCAGCCACAGCACAAAACACCAGTGTCTGGTTTCCCCCCTCAGAACAACACTGCCACAGCCCCCCCCCCCCCCTACTCCTACTTTAAATAAAACATAGTTCCAGTCATCTGAGGCCCTCGTGTGCATAATTCAGGGGCCGGTATCGATTGGAGGCGAGGAGGTGAGGTTAAGGAGGTTGTTTTCACTGTAACAACAGGTTACGTGTTGTGAAAATGGCAGTTAAATATGGTGAAAACAGCAGTTCGAGTCGCTGTGTCATTGCGGGGCTGAAAATAACCATCGTCATCTTCATCTTCATCAGTCACCGTGTTGGTTTCCCCAGAGCTCGTGGTTACACTGAATAATAGAACCAATTAAGGTGTAAAAAGAGCGTTTCATTTCATTAAAATCTGTTATAAACTATTTAGAACATCTGGAGGGGTTTATGTTGAAGCTAAAGATAAAACAATTATTTTTAAATGCAAAACAACAATTACTAGATCTGCTAAATTATTAAATGACGTTAGAGAAAATAAAGTGTCTACTGTGTGCGGATCAAACCAGAACAAACCACGATGAACACTATTTGCGTTTCCTCCTAACAACACACAGCGGAGTCGCAGCTTTTTTTAAGGGCGTTTATTTTACTCCCAGCGAGAATTAAAACTTTTTTTAAACTACACCTGAACTATAAAGAAATCAGCAAAAACCCATTTCTCCGTTTCGACTGTAAATAGTGCGCAACAGGTTGACGAGCCGCTGCACCTGCTTCACCTGCTTCACCTTACCTGCGCGTCTCCCTCCGCAACTCGTACTCCGTGTTTTCCTCTCCTCCTCCGAGTGAATACGGGTTTACTAAATAAAACACAGATAAACTAACGGACAGAGTTCACTTTTTGCTTTTGTTTTTCTTCTGGTAGTCGGCTAACGCCCCCCACTCTCCCGGTAATGAGCTTTCCTTTTTCCATCGCTTCGCGGTTAGCTTACCTTATTCCCTGCAGAGGGGAGAAGCGGATTGGGAAAGGTAACGAACGGCCGCGTCGACCAATCAGATGCGTGCGGGGAGGCGGGCAGGCCGGGGACGCGCGGCATCCCATTGGTGGGTTTGCGTTAATGGCGGATCAGTGAAAAGGGAATTTCACTGTATTGTTTCACGTCCTTTCGGTTCGCCGGTGAGATCCAGAAGGCCGAAACGGAGCGGAGGCAGTTTCAGGCGAAGGGAGCGACTCTAGAGCACGTGTCGTGTCAGTGAACTGTCATGGAAAATGCTAATCTTCCGAAATGCGTAAAATGTGGGAGGAGAAAAACACGTAATTATAAAATTGTGAGGGGGGGGGGGGTCAGCTTCCATAAGAGTTGATGTTCTCAGGGCAGCGCGATGTGGATTGAAAGGAGCTAATTATTCCTAAGAGGCTCTGCAATGCAAAGCTATTTAAACTACTTTGAATTCATGCACAGAAAGATTAACCAAACACCATCAATTATGTGGTTGAAATCGACGACCATTATTCAGATGGCTCAGGATTCATTTCAACTACATATGAACATCTCCCAGGCAACCAATGTGGGCTACTAATGTTTTATTAGGTTTTTGGGGGGTAAAATGATCCAAAATTGATCCGTAAAAATGCAATGATTAGTTCCCAAGTAATCTATATTGTACACTTTAAGCATTCTGCTATATTGGTAAATGCTTTGTTGTTGGTTGCAATTAACTGAAAAGGATTGCTGGTTTTATAGTTTATATCTTCTAGTTTACAAGCAGGAATCCTTTCTTGTACTCCTGTTTATTCAATTAATCCTACTCCCTGTTCACAATGTCGTTGTTCCGATGTCAGCGTTATCAATGCAATCGTAACCATCAACAATGACAAAAAGTTACTTTAACGACAATCCGCTGACAGATAAGTTGAAAAAGATGCCACAGCAGCCATTGTAACAACTCGTGACTGCTTGGTGTGAATTCATTCACGGAGAATGCATTTGCATTTCATGCCACTTTATACTTCTCCATTTCATTGTGGGGATTTTAATTGTTTTTGCTCAATTTCATTTAATGGACTACTGTGGTTTGCCAATGAATTAATTATAAACAAATTTTATACATTTATGAATTGAGATTACTGCAAACACTACACTACAAATTAATTTAAGGGCATATTTACATTTATTAATAAAAAATATTACACCCTCTCGGCCAAATTAAATACCAGGTTAATGGGTTCCGACATGACTCTTGTGCTTCCTCCAAAACTAAATACCCCTGTGCTGCTGAAATAAAACGAGTAACGCTCAATTAAACATATCCATATATATTTTATTCTCAATACGGCAAAATACAAAGAATATTCAGGACAGACTCTCATTAGTCACAATTAATACTCACTTCACAAGAATGCTTTAAATTACATAAACCTAAGTTTGAAGATCAAACTCAAAGAGTACCTTTAATCATATTGCATCCATCATATATAGTATCTCTATCATCAGTTCTCTTAAAACTAATCCAATTTAGACTATTGTACATAGTGTATGCTGCGGGTCTCACTTTAGAGACGACTTTTAGAAAAAAGATGTTATACAACATACTGTATAAACTGCTACAACTGTTTTGACCTGTAGAGAAATACCTCTGTTTCAAAAGACATGTTGGACCAATTGTTCAAAAAGGGACACATTAGTAAATACATCTCTCTCTATTTCACCCTCCCTCCATCGTGAGGAAGAAACAGACGTGGTTTTACATAACAGACTGTACACAGCATCCATGCATCGATTCCATCCATCCATCCATCCATCCATGAGATCGACAATATACATTTCATGAAAAGTACACGCCTCCATATCAAATACAGAGAGGACAAAATATTCACACTTGGTTCTAGAGTCATTAATGATTATGTGGCAACCGTGACACTGGGAGACAGTGAAGCAGAAGACAAAGAATACGAGCACGGTAAGAAAAAGGACTGAGAAATGAATGTGATATACAGCGTCGAGAGACTGCGATGGACTCGAACAGCTTGGAAGAAGAACAAAAGCCCACAGAGGGATGAAAAAATGTGCATAAAGTATCTCACAAAATGTATTTACAGCATTTTTAATTTAATAAAAATGTCAACCTGTAGTAAAACTCACCCTTAAAGAAATGTTATATTTACAATTTATACATTTGTATTTAAATAGAAACATGCAACTGTTAACATCTTCCTACTGAATGTGAAAAAAAAAATCATCTTACCCTGGATTCTTTCAAGTTAGAATTAATATTAATTACTACTTACAAGGAAATCTCATGAACAACCCCAATACATTTACATCTTCCTCATTTCATAAAGTGGAACTCCTTAAAATGGCAAATAGAAAAAAAAAAATATTAAGCAATGGGGCAGAAAAATAAATAAGTGTGAGTAGCAAACTGTTAAAAATTGATCTAAATGCTAAATTTTGTACATTTGACTACAAGATAGTGTAGGGAAAAGAAGGCTTGGACATGTACTTTCAAAGTGTACCAGTGTATGAAGACATGGACTGGGCTGCTGGACCCACAGAGGAATCCCTATGAGAAAAGTGGCCTCCAGCTGTAAGTACAAAATGGCTCAAAGCCACCTGTGTTTGGTTATAAAAACAGATCTATATACACATATATACTTAAACCAGTACACAAAATTGCAAAAGCTAAAAGGCATTGGACACTTGAGTTCAACAGGTTTCTCACTGAGGCGGGAAAAAAAAGCAGGGAAAAGAAAATTCCCAAGCCAACTTTTTTTTCCTTTTTTCCAAAGAAACGGATCCTTTCCTTTTTTTTTGTAAAAATCCTGCATAGATTAAAATAATACCTCCTCTGGCTTTGTCTTTTTTCAAGTGCCAGAGGAAATAACAGTATCCCCTCCTACGATTAAGGCCAGGGAGCAAGTGAATGAAAGAAAATACATAAAGAGGTCAAACCCGGGTCAGATAGTCAAATTCTAAGATTTGTTTTACTTTGAGATGAAAAGAGTTCAAGATGAAGTGACAACTCCCCGAAGTTATGTTTGTGTGTAAAAGCCTATTGTTCTTTTTTCCAACTGCCATTAACAAAAACCAACCATTATTAGTTTCCATGGATACCATTTGACCCAGGCTTAAATGTTTCCAGCATGTTTGAGGAAGTGAGCTTTAAAATAAAAAATAAAAAATAAAGTACAGTCCTTCATGTCATTGACCATTAACAAACACTAACATGTCTCGGTGTGATGTTAACATCTTCATTTCAAAACCCACCGCCGTGCACATTTCCCTTGATGACAGGTCATTTTAAATAAGAGAAGCGTTCATACCTGGACGGCTGGAATACGCCGTCCCGCGTTTCTCATCCACCGGCTTGTAATACAAGTGTGATTCAAATTTAAATAGGAAAAAGGACATACACAAACAAATACTTTGCATCTCATAATTCTTGGTTTAAAAGAATGCATTTGAAAAGTTATACTTCTGCTAGGCCAGAGGGAGAAAAAAAGAAAACCGCGTGGTACATAAATAAAATCTATATTGGCCGTTATACTTATGTTTTTGAAATATATAATGATAGATCTAAAACTCTTTGTTCTATAGATGCAACACTGATGAGTTTGCCTCTCTAAATATTTCCTTACAGATCAACTCGCTTTTGTTGTGCCAAATTAGTGGTCACCCAGGCTCCCGCTCCTGTTCAATACTTAAGACACTCCCTGCTGTTCCTTAGAAAAATACACTCTGAGCAAACAGGGGATCAAAACATGAACAACACTGTGTGGAAGTCACTCGGACCCGAGGAAATCGCTCACTGAACAATGTCGCTACGAGTGTGAAAACATTCCTTAGGAAGAGGCTCGTATTCCAGAGCTTCAAAGACAGCAAATCTCTTCGGGAGAACATTAACGAGATCAATTCTATGAAGGACGAGAGTTTCTAAAAGCCCCCCCCCCCGGTGGCGGCCCCTAGGGGCGGCGCGGCTCCTCGCATTAGACCGGACCGCGGTGGTTTGAGCATGTTGAGCAACATTCAACCCTGTAGCGGGCCTGAAACCAGCTTGTGATTGTGGGAAACAAAAACTGAGACACTGATCGACGAAAGAGAACATTAATAAATACGTGCGTGTCAGAAGTATTAGTCTGCTGTGCACAGTAGCCCTTCCTACAGTCCGTCCTCAAACATTGTGGGCTTCACGATTAGGCTCCAAACCTCATGAATAAAGATGGTGTAACGTACCTTCATTTGGGGCCAACTCCTTTCCTCTAAAACGTGTTAACACGACTCAGCCTGCAAAGACCTGAATGTTGCCAGCTTCCAGTAACCTTAAAATATTTTTAAAATGAATAAAATTAGTTAAAAGTAAAAAAAAAATAAAAAGGGGATAATTTATTCAGATATGACGTGTGGCTGTTTGTTTTCCTGTCATTCACATACAAGGCACAAAAATGATAAAGAGAAACCTTCATTTTAAAGCACCTTTGGTGTTCATGGGAGGTACTTTGGTGAAACAAAGTGAAATAAAAAGTTAAAAGCCAAAAAAGTAGCCTAAAAAACAAAACCCCATTTTTAAGCGTTTTCATAGCAAATAGTCCAGCGAGCGCTTCCATTGCCAAATGGATAGAAACATGGCAAAGATTGTAAGAACGCCGGTACGTGAAGCACGGCGATGAGCTCTTGTGTGGTTTCCTTCCTGTGCTGCCCGCGGTGTCGGATGCTCTGGATTGCTCAGTGTTTTTGGCAAGCTGGTGTAGAAAATGGACACAGTGTTGTAGATCTGTTTGAGAAGTTCATCACGTGTGTGTGTGTGTGTGTGTGTGTGTGTGAAAATACAGTACATCATTGCATGTGTGTCTGTCTGTGAGCGCATGCATGACTGTTTTTTGAGCACATTAACTCAAGAAGCTGAGGTGTGTGTGTGCGCGTGTGGAAGCAGCGAGCAGGGAACGAGTCCTTGCTAGGGAACAAGCTTTGCGTCCAGGCGCAGCCAGTGGAGGCCCTGTCGTGTGTAACGCAGCAGTTCTGTCATGCTGCTGGTGTTGAAGATCAGAGGTCCCATCACCTTGTCCAACTCCAAGAAGAATTCTGGGAAACCAAAAGACACAGCGAGGGAGGAACGGGGGGGGTTAAAAGCCTGTGACTCAATAAGATTATTATAGAAAGTTATTAAGATTTCAGAACAAATCTACAAACTAAAACTGATCTTGTACTGATTTTGAAAAAAGCAAAAAGGACAATGCTTTAATATTACAGAAGAATAGTACAATCTGCCACAAACTAAGAACTAGATTCACCTTTCTGCTCCTTGGACAGTTGCTCCGCCTGGTCCCAGACCTCAGTGGCGTACAGGAAGTTGCTGGTGACCTGGACGTAGCTGGCGGCCATCTGGTGGATACGCTGAGGTATGGTCACAGAAGAGCTGGCGCTGCTGCCGCTGCTGCTGCTGATCGACGAGTAGCCGACGGCTGTGCCCGGCGACAGCTTGGGAGACACCGGAGAGGGCATGCTCGCCGCCTTGCTGAAAGGGGAGACGGAGAAGAGCGCCTTTATGACTGAGAGCGGTTGGCAGAGGGCGAGTTGATGTGTCTCATGAGTGCTACACGACTTAAAACCATCTCCGATAGCAGGACGGACCATCGGCCCCGTACGAGTCAAGAGCTTCATCACGAGGAAGTAACAGGACTAAAGTGGGTGCCGATATTTAAAAAAAATACATATATATGTAGTTCAGGTAATTTTCTCAACTTTCTGTGAAGTTTGAAAACAATTAGCCATTGAACACAACACTCAACACAAGACACACGTCTCCTTTAGGAGGTTTTTTATCTTAACTTACTTTCCCATTCCAGGAGAGGGAGCCTGGGTGTTACTCAGAGAATTCTGTCGAACAAAATCAAGGGAAAAACATTATGTACGAAGCAGGTTACACATTCACATGAACAAAGAAACAACCTACATGGAATTCATCCAGCTTCTCTTTGCTTTGGGGGGCTTTGCCAAGCCAAACTTAATTTTGGCTTCTAGGAAACTAAAAAGTACCTTCAAGTGTTCGGTGAGTGTTTTGGAGTACTTTAGAGCGCTGTCTTTCCTCAGCTTGAATAACCGCAGGTAGAGCAGAGACTGGCATCGAAGGCTGGAGAGAAAGATGCAGAGAAGACAGCGATGACCGGAGTTAGGCAGGTAGCTAAAACTCACAACCCTCCCTCCAAATCCAAACAGCTAGGATTTGGAGGACTTTTAGGACAGGAGGACACTGCTTGGACCGGATACCCATCAGTTGTGGTCATAACTTACCAGAGCACTGCTAGTCGCTTGTCTGCTGAAGTAGCATCCGGAGCCAGGTAGCTTTTTAACTTCATAGTGTATCTGAACGTGAAAATAAAAAACAAATACATACATAAACTTCATAAACATAAACTTCCAATGGAAAAGTGCAACAAAGAAAATGTATCCAGAAGAACCGTGCATGTCATCTTTTTAACTCCAAACAGTCTCCTTTTGGTAAAAAAAAACCCGGGAGCTAAATTACCCACAATGCAACTCGACCCTGTGGGCTCATTTGCATATTGCGTGTGTAATGTTAGGAGCAGGTAAAGTAGCCACAGAGCGCGCGAGCAAAGAGCAGCAGCCGGCTACAGAGGTCAGGCAAGCGCACTTCTTTCCAACTACACCCGCAGGTTTGTTTTCATATTCAAACTTGTGGGCCACAGCGCACGCCAACCAGAGCACGCAGGTCCCTTTGGGCGGTTCACAACATGCGGTGGTACAAGGAAAGACCTGTCCACAGACTTTGATGTGTGCAAATGGTGCCGCTGCCCTTTAAACTCGTGACAATGAATAAAAGTCTGTTTGCTCTCACTTGATTAGCTCCACCGTTTCAGCATACATAGGGAAGGGAGACTTTGCTTCTTGAGCACTCTTCTCCAGAGCGTTACCGCATTCGATGAACGACACCACAGCGTCCAGGTAGTAAACCGCCTTCTCGAAACGGTCCAACTGCAAAATAGGGAAAGGGGAAAGAAACACAAGTCACTGATTCACTGATGTCACGAGTCACTGATGGCGGTGCGTCCCAGGTTAGTGGGCAAAGACTGCTCTAATATCACACTTCTTTCAAGTAAATGCTTCACATGACTTCATTTGATGTGTTTCGGTGCGGAATACAATAAACTCTTATAACAGCATGTATGAGTCTGCCTTTCTACGGAATGTAAAACACCATAGATGTGGACTCATGAACTGTAGCCTAATTCATTTTCCACAGACATTATAGATTAATTCAAAGCGTGTCCATAATGTTGAACTATATATTTGAAAAGATACATGAAAATACTGCTTTGTTCTCATCAATAGTGTGTGTGTTTGCTTGTCTAACTCAACATGGCATAACAAGCAAAGTATTTCAGTCCCCCCTTCAAGCAGGAACTTATAAATAGTTAGCAGCTAATACTTCAGCAACTCCTTGTTCAATAACTGAGGGACTTTCGACACTTTATGTCATAGGTAAAAAAAGTGTTTTAGTTGCGTTGTTACAGTAGGTCAAGCATTTCTTCCAGGAAAACCTCACCAGGAGGTCGTTTTGCATTTTAAAAAAAGGGGGTAGACCGGGTTTTACCGCTCCTCCCTGCTTTGCCTGCAGCAGCTGAGACTGCAGCATCTCAATTACACATGGAAATAAGCTTCAGGCTCACGCTCTTACCAGTGCATCTGCATTGTGTTTCAGTTTCTTGGCCTCTTGTAAGTAGTGATCCGCCGAATGGACCCTGAAACAACATAATTAACACGTCAAACTAATTCAATTACATTTTGGAAACAGCATAAATTTCCACCGAGTAGTTATTACATTAATTTAAACCACAAAACCGAAAAAAGAAAGTCAGGAGGCAAGACGGATATTTTTTTACCTCTGCATGAAAAACAGATCCCCAAAAAAGAAGCTTTTAAAATGGAAATGTATGTCATCTCTCCTGCATACAGGCACATCTATGCATGACCTCCCCGACCTCCTGCAGCTTTGTGCATCAAAGGCAACCCTAGATCCCCACAGCAGTGCTTTCTGCACCCCTTGCAGGGGTTAGCTGCAGTGGAAGGAGCTCCTCTTACCTGTCCTCAAACATCAGCTTGGATCTCTGAGACTTGGAGCCGTCCGTGGGGAGCGGAGGCACAGCCAGCTGGTTATCGCTGCCCTTTGAGGATTTCTCCTGCAGAGACGGCAAGAGAGATGGAATAAAGTTTCAGGAAAAAAGGGAGGCGGCCTGGTGTTTGAAGCGAAGGATTAAAATTGAGAAATGGTGTGGGGGAGGGGTTGAGGATGTCTAGAGAAACGTTCTGCGTACTATGGACATTAGGGCGAACAATCCAATATATAGACCCATATAGCAGCAATGTTCTCGACCACCTTCTTTCTAACATTTTGTTATTTAAGTTTAAGCGGGTGGGGGTGCAGGGGTTCAATCCACAGCAAATAGCTGCGATAAGGTTACATGCGTTTACCTTGCCGTCGCGCGCGCCGCGTCCCTTGTCCTCCCCTTTCCGGTGTTTGGAGGTGGAGTTGCCCTTGGTGCTGTGGCTTCCCTCCTTCCCACTTCCTGTGCCGCTGGACAAAGAGGTGGAGGACTGGCTGACTGTCCTCTTTCGACTCGGATGCTCTGCCTTGGGCGTCCGCTGGAGACCCGATATGGAAGGAGAGGGGACGGGCTCCTCTTTCTTCTCCACCGACCTCTTAGACCTAGGAGATGAATCACCATTGTAACATCGTTTCAGTAGTTCAGTAGTCAAAAGCCTTCACAGGGTTTATTTAGTGGATTATAAGACAATTTCTTCACAGGCATGAAGAAAGAAATGAAGCTAAGTGCTACTGTCACACCAACTGTTTTAAGTGTGAAAGATGATCAGGAGGAAAACTCACTCTTTGCTGCTGTTTTTATGATGAGAGGGGGACTTTTCCTCTAGCTTACAACGCTTGATCTCGGTCTTGGTGCCATCTTCATCGTTCTAAAAGAAACAAAGGTTGCAGGAAATCAAAAGACACATTAAAGGATTTAGTGGTGTGTGTACACATTTCTCTGTAGGAAGTAGATGACTTGAACCTCTAAAAAATTGCAGCCAATGCGAATTACAGTGATATCACTTAGCCTTGTAAGAATAAAATACTTAGTTTTTCAATGAGTAACTTATTGCAATTGTCAGAATTGGCCCTCAATTATCTTGTGTTCAATAGACTTTAAAAAAGGGGTGCAAAAGTTGTAAAAAGAAAGAAAGAAGATAATCAGATAATAAATCATATTCTCCTCTCATTAAATCGGAAACCTTTGCCTCAAAATGATTCCTGGCATCATGTTGACATGATTAAATCACCCAGATAGGGATAATAAGTAATCTCTGCCTCCTTGTTTTGCCATTCAGGGCAAAAGGGATGGTTGTCTCCATATTGGCCCAAACGCGCCAGAAGGAGTAAACCACCCCGCAGTCTTTCAAAGCCTCAAGAACATTTAAAGATCAATCGGAGCAGCAGAGAACAAGGACAGGAACTTGCTCCATCGAGTCTTGTACCTTGTGTTTCCTCTTGGCCTTGCTGGAGCTCTGTTTGCTGAAGTCTTTGCTCTCCCTGTCCAGAGAGTCGTCCCTCTCCACTTTTATCTCTGCAGGCTCCTTGTAGGGCCGCCCTGGGATCCTAGACAGCAGGCTGAGATCTATAGGAAACGGGAAGGGAAGGAAAAGGAACAGTTTAAATTTGGTCCAAAGAAAAGAAAAGCTCCGGCGGGGCACACGCAGATAACTCCTGTGGCTTCCACTGACCTATCTTCACGAGTAAAACCTGGTGCTGCGGCTGCCTTGTAGGGTAGCGCTCCTCCGGGTCACTCAGAGGGGACAGCAGCTCTTTTTCTTCCATCGGAGAAAAGACGCACACGGGGGTCCTGATGCTCTCCGTGTACTTGGGCGTCTGCGACGACGACGGGATGCTGTCGTTCCCCTCGGAGTCCGACGACGAAGAGTCCGTGTCGACAAACTCCCGCGACTTCTGCGAAGTCTTGGTGGGCGCCTTGGCCTTGCGCTTGTCCGCGGTGGCGACGGCGGGCGCGGTGGGCCTCGGGGAGGGTTTGGTTTCCCTTTTGATGCTCGGTTTGCGGGACCCCTTGGTGGCGGCCTTCGTCCGACGTGGGGGGATCTCGGGAGCCGGCTCGCTCTCCACCCTCAGGCCTCCCCTGGGTTCCACCACCACGGGGGGCTTCTCGGACTTCTTCGGCTGTTTCTTGCCCACGCTCCTTCGCGGATTGGCGCCGCCCTCGCTCTGGGCGGGGGACTTTTGCCGGCCGCGGCCGCCCTCCGCCCCCTTCTGTGCCGCCCGTAAGTCCCTGCTCGGGGTGGGAGCCGCTGAGTCTTTGGAGCCCCCTCCCTGGCTGCTGTAGCCGCGCCCCGAGCCGTTGTCCCTGCCCTCTTTCTTGCACTTGGTCGGAACGTTGTTGTCCACGGGGGAAGCCGGATGCTTGGCTTTCTTGAACCAGTTGTCAAGCTGCCACTTGTTGGCCACGGGTGGTTCAGGCTGGAGGGGAGCGGGAGAACACACACACACACGTCAGACTTGTGTGTTCGTGAAGGAAGAACATCGTGGACAAGTATGAAAGCCAGTCAAACATTTTAAAAACGATGGCCAAAGGAAGAAGAAGAGGTTGTTTTTAAGGCATTACCTCAGGCGAGGCGCGCCGGGGGGGCTCATTGGCCTCGCTGTCCGTCGTGCTGCTTTCACTCTCGCTGTCGGAGCCCGAGCTGCTCTCCGAGCCGCTGTGGCTGCTCGAGTCGTCCCTGGATTGCTCTGCTCCTTCACTGTTATTGCTGTTGTAACAGAAAAGAGCGCGAATGAACGGCGTTAAAAAAAGGGCACAGTACACTTACAGCCATGTTTTAGAAACTACCAAGTGTTTGGGGTTTAAAGTCTTGTCCCAGGGACACAAACGGTAGCTCCATATGTCTGAGGATCATCCTTAACCACTACATTTAGATCACATACTGCCAAACCTTTCCGTACTTGATTCGTAAGTTGATCATGTTTCAGCTGTAAAATTCTCAATTTGCCTCACAATGCAGGTATTGTCGCTGAGAACACCTGCTGTTGATTTTGTGAAAGGTGTGGACGTGGTGTGTGCGTAGCTCGCCGCTGTCCCCCGTTCATGTACGTGCTTCGTGGTTTACCTCGCTGAAGTGTTCCTTGAGGCATTCTTGGCAGAGTCCTGTTCCCCATCGCTGTCCTCGCTGCTGCTGAGCTTCAGGTCATCTTCCAGTACACTGAGATGGGGGAACAAAATTAAATTAGAGGTCTATTTTATTAGAGCAGTGTAATTGGTGGCTCCGTCTACTCAACGTACTGAGGTCATCCATGCATGTCTGGTTACTTTAACTTTTCATAGATTTCATACATTGGTTTTAGTATCCCGCTCCTAGGCGTCAATCTACACTGTAAAAACTATTGACATGGGCTAACAATTAAAAGAAGGAAAAGATGAAGCACTTACGTGGGCTGGTCATCGCACGCTTTGGACTGGTGGCTGCTGGAGCTCTTGGACGAACTACCTCGCTCTAAAAACACAAACAAAACTCATGAGCACTACATTTATCAAATGTACATGCATATATATTTTATGATGGCTGTGAATGAGAAATTGAAGCAATACTCACTGTGGCCACTTGGGAAAGTGTGAGAGTCCTGAGGGCAAAAAAGAAAAAAGGAAAATAAAGATTTATTATTATTTCACAAACCCAAATGTTTTGTCTGTTCTAACAATCTACGAATGAATACAAATCTATTCTAAATGAACTCCTTGAATTGACGTTCATTAGTAATTCATAAAAGCTTCTTAGGAAGTTCAAACAACTTTCCTTTAGTTTCTGTGTTAGTCTATCATTAATACCTGATAGTAAAACTATCAATAACTATGTATTAATTGACATATAACTGTCATTGAAGGGCCATAAAAAGGTTACTCTGGTTTGGTTGCGTTTGCTACGCGAGGTCTGTTTGCCCCAAACTAGACACACAGCACATGACGCATGATTTGAGACGAACAGTAAACACAGGGGCCGGTGCAATGCTGACCTTGGTGGGGAATGGAAACTTGGAGGGCTCTGTTTTGCAGGGGGTGTGGATGGCTGTCAGCGGAGGGGGCCACAACTGAGTCATTTCCTGCGAGAAAGAAAGAATAAACACACATATGGGGGGGAAGTGAATGAGTTGTACGCTGAGAGTAATGCAAAGTGCAATAGTTTTCTTTTCACTCCCTGAATACTTGTGTTGAACGAAGGGGGAGGGGGAGTTCTGCCAATAGACATTTACCTTCAGAATCTCGTCGACACAGTTGGCGTCACCAGATCCCTGAAGACAGAAACAAATGATGTTTAACACGTTCTCATAAATCGACAGGCCGGTCAGTGCTGCAGGTGGGAGGAGGCCTCCATTCCTAGAAGCATGAGTCATTCTAAGGAGGATTTACAGAGTGTAACATGCTGCGAAGGTAACCGCGTCCAGCTATGACGCCACTATGGATACATGCTCCGAACATAAACACCGCTCCGCTAGTCAAAATAACCTACATACAATTTCAGAAACTGTAAATTTACACCCAACAGTGCGTAAGTGCTGTAACATGCGGAGAGCCCGAAGACGAAGCCTCACCTCTACGGGCTGCGAGGGGATCTTTAGTTTGGAAAGCGAGGCCTTGCTGTTGGACTTCATCTCTCCCATGGTGCTGCTGTGCGACTGTCCGCTGTAGCTTTCTGCCTGTGAGCTCTTGGGTTCCGCCGTTTCCTGGCCGTCCATAGGCCGCACATACGCTGTGGGCTTCTGCAGCATGGAGCCGGGCTTGGACATGAGAGAGGGCGGAAAGGCCTGACTCGAGTGCTGTCCAGTGGGGAAGGCGGTGTGAACCCGGGAGGGAGAGTCCCAGTTGGCCTCTCGGTCTCGCGGGGACTTGGAGCGGTAGCGCTCCTTGCTGTGATGCTGCTCGGCGGACAAGGAGCCTCGCAAGTGGCTGTTGCTGCTGCCGCCGCCGGAAGAACTCAGCGAGCCCTTGGCCGGACTCGACGTGTGCGACTTGGAGTGCTCCGACACGCCGCCGTGTTTACTCGACTTCTTCTCCCGCACCTCCCCGCCGTGTCTTTGGCTGCCGCTGCTGCTGCTGCTCCCGCCGCCGCTCCTCTGGCTACCGTGGCCGCCCGGGAGTCCCGAGCGCTTCTGGGACTGGGACGAAGATCCGCCCGCTGCGGGGCCAACGGGAGTCCACTTGCTGCTCTGGCTGCTGCCCCCGCTACCGACGCCGCGCTGGTCCCCGCCGAACAGAGGTGGGCCCGATTTCTCCTCGGAGGAAGACGAGCTGTTAGATGGTTTACCGCCAAGCTTAGGAAGTGTGTCACCAATCGGCTCTTTCATCTCGTCGTAATTGCCCAGCATGCTCTGAATACGGCTTGACAGTTTATCTTCCTTGCTGGACTGAAGAGAGAAGCAGAGAAAGGGGGGAGGGAGAGTGGGGGGGGAGGGTGAAGACAGTGTGATGATAAAGGGGGAGAAGAAAAAAAATTGACAGCCAGAGAAAAAAAAAATTTCATAGAGAGAGAGAAGCGAACAGAGGGAAAGAAGAGAGGAGCGGGGCAGAGAAAACAGTCATTATGGGCACAAGTTCAACACTCGGGTTAATTGCTTTGCCTTCCATCCAAAAGGAGAGAAAATGTATTACTCCAACAAAGACCAACTTCAAGTCAATGCAAAAGGAGCATAATTCAAATGCAGATTTACATCCGTCCAAAACAGGAGGAAACTAATAAAATCCTGAGCTGCGTGTCGTCAGGTTTACCTTCTAAATTATTGATTTAAGGTTGGGGAAAATAATCGATTGGACGCAGAGACCCGCCGATCGGTCAGGGAGCTGATCCAAAACGACCCCCGATTAGTCCACAACCATCTGTCAACACAGATAAGTCCGCCCACAGCGCCGACACGGGGGGTTAATCAATCACTTTGAAGCCACAGGTTCCTGCAGACCTGCGAGCAATCAGCCCGCGTCGGCCTGTGCAAAATATCCAGTTTCACACGGAGCGCTCGACGTCTACTTTGTCACACATGGGGGGAGGAAACATTATCGTTATCTGTAGCAGGAAGTGTTAACTAGCTTGGTCACAACAGCTCGGCCCACACTGTGCGTGCGTGTGTAGCGGAGCGTCCACTTTTTTTTTCTGATTGGATGTTTGGCTTCGATGATCGGGCTTGTCACACACACTGCCGTTGGCTGATAATGCTAAAAACAATGAAGTGTAGAACACACAATTACATATTTTATCGTGCAGCTTTTTTTTTTACCTACGTGTTAAAACAGAAGAGTTGTTAAAGTTTTGGTGGGCTGCAAAAATGACTACTACTTCCTTACTAACTGGGAACTATCCTTTCCAAAGTCATATTTCCACAACAATAAATTACAAAAGAACTAAACACATATTTTCATCTGCTGTCTTTTGGTTTGCGTTACTTGTCCATGTTGCCTGATCTTTGTTAAGACGTCGTTAAAACATGATTGATCATTGGATTTTTGATTTCTGAACCTTTTAGATCTCGCCAAGTAAAAAAGGCCAACTTAATACAAATTCAAAAACGACCACACACACATCTACATACACTGGGTCATCAAAAAGACCAAAATCCTGATTTAACAGATCATTCAATGCCGCTGAGTTTAACGTGTGTGCGCTCAGCACCATAAAAAAATGTTACTGCTCTGCTGCAGCTGCGTGCACACATGGCCTTTAATGCTGAACACAGTAAACTTCCACTTTGTGGAGCGTACCAGAGGGTCTGGTAGAAGAGGGGGGTGCAAACTGAAGCGTACATAAGACGCAAGCGATGCAAAGTGCAGAGAAGCCAGTGACTTACACACAGGTGGCTTTTTTCTGCCTTTTTCTTGTCCTATTGATTCTGAAGACATGAACACTAAATCAACCAAAACCACATTGTTTGCTGCAACTGCATTTTCTTTTGTTGCGCAAAGGTCAAGGACTTCTTCAAAACAGCAGCTTCATACCTTCGGCACTCACCTCTGGTCCACCTCTCTATTGCCGACCTGTCGGGACACATTCCTCTCTGCCTCATTGATGGCGAACTCCGGCTAAGGAAAGGGACCACTTACCTACGCTCAAATCTGGTTAGTGGTCGAAGATTAGACCGATTCAGAGAACTCAAATCCGCTTAACAATTACACTGGCTGAGGCGCTGGCTGGCCTACATCTATATGTATCCACCAGCATGGGAGGAAAGGGCTACACTGCAAACCAGCTAACCAAAGACAGGCGTCAACCCGACTCACCCGGAGTCCACGGCGGATTACCGCTAACCATTATTTCATAACAAATGCTTGGAATAAAGAAAGCCCTTTTAACACTTTAACCACAAACTACGTTGCACACACACACACACACACACGCCAATTACAGCTCAAAATTTGAGCGAAATCGTCGAGATTAAAAGCAGGATCGCCATTGATGACAGAACTCGCCCGGATATGAAGTGCATAGGTATTGGAAGCATTTCACAGTTCGCCCTGTTTAAGCTTTCATCACACAAAACCAAAGACTTCATGACTGAAGGTCATGATGAAAAAGAAATTAACGGAACAAAAACTTCCTCCCCCATGATGGGACAGGCAAAAAATGTGTCCACGTCGTCGTCAAACAGGATAGTCCTGACAAACAACTAGGAGGTTTTTGTTCTCCCTGACTCGAGCAATGCAGGGAAGTCAAACAATGTTACATAAAGCGTGCACATGTGTACAAAACCACCAACGGAAAGAGGGTTTCCACCTTTTGCCACAGAGGCCCGTAGGTAAACATTCCCTTCTGCACTTCAGTTCAGGCAAAAAAAAAAAAAAAGTATGACTGTTCAAAGAATATGTGATGACAAAACTGAATCTAGAGGAGGTTTGTGTTGTTCCCACTTCCTGCCACGGACTAATCAATGTCATGTAACATCTGAAGGGAGAGGTAAACAAACTTACCACTTTGTAGGGCTCAGGGAAGAGAGGTGAATTTGCTGGAAAGGCCTCTCCTCCTCCTCCTCCCTGCTGGATTTCTTGATTTCGCCTTTCTCTTTCTTTCATTCGGAGCACATTCCGGTCCTCACGGTTCATGTTGCTAATAACGCAAACAGAACAACAACAGGTCAACATAAGTACACGCGGAGGAGAGACCGTAAACACACTCCACACTCATTTTGTGGGGGAGGGGGGGGGGGTCATCTAGGGCAGCCGTATACGATTCAAAAGGAACGCCTAATGAGAAGAACCCCCCGCCCTCAAAAAGGTTACTCCTAAACAGTGAGGTACCGCAACTAAAACAAGCTCTGAAGTCTTCCCTGCTGCCAGGACTTCTTGCCCCGGATAAAAATGATAACCCCTCATCGCGAGTCACAATCAGCCATCGACTACCCTCTGCTTTGAGTCATTTTATACTTTATTGTTTTGGGCGGAGGGGAGGGGGGCACAAACGGGCAACGTGAACACAGCGGACTGACGCAGAACGCAATCCCCGATGGGCTCCGGCTGATCGAGACAACAAGCAGGATACTTGTACAACAAAGACTCCGCTTGTATAGATGGTCAATGTAAATTTGTCTCCCTCCCCCCCCCCCGGACACACACAGGCATATGCAACGGCCATTTTCAACGTCGTCGTTTCAAAGTTTGTCAACTACAATTTGAATGGCTGTTTGCTCACAAGATAAATTATTCAAATAAACACGTTGTGTATTTTGGACTAGACTGAAGAGGCGTCATTCACTCGACATGAACAGAATGTGTCAGTGTTTTCTGGAAAATAGCAACGAGATGAATCAGCCTGTAATTAGGATTAATGAACCTGATGCTATTAAACTTGATCTCTAAGCAATCGGCTCCATGACTGACACACACGCACGTTGCTGCTCTTACTGTCCCTCCGAACAATGTGTGTAGTGTAAACCTTCCATTAAAGAGCCATTTGAAGGCAGCGGTGCGGTAACTGTGGATGTACGACACCAAACACCTGAACAAACTGTGTCCACAAGCAGAGGACAAATACACAAGACTGTCCATGTCGCAGTAGCAAGTATTAAGGGAAGGGACGACAACCACCACAAACAAGACTTCCGTCTGGAACAGAAAGCAACTACGAGGCTTTGAAAACCAGAAACGAGCCTCTTAGCAGCCGGGCGCGTCGCCTCTCCGTTTACGACAACAATGATTCTAAAGCGGCTGAGAGCGATTGTACAGAATCCACCTCGTCCTGAACTATAAACACAACGCACAAGGGGGTTATCAATCTTTACCAAGTACGGATGAAAGAAACAGGAACTCACTTCAGGCATCAGAGTTTGGGACGAGGGAAGTGAGACGTGAAAACCTGGTACATTGTCTCAGGATATTAGTGCTCAGTCCTGCAGCCATCTATTGGAGACCGTTTATCTGTGGGCTCAATCAATCAGCAAGTCCAATACGTCACCTCCCAACCAACGCCTTTACCGAGCCTTCGGCTGTTTGACGTTGTCAACGCCACCCGACTCAAGAGTCATCACTCCTCACGGGCCACTTCAGTTACAGAGCACAGCAAAGTAGGCTAGGTTAAACCGAAGCTCAGGAGGAGCCCGAGGCCAACGTGAGCCGTTTGAGACGCACCGTTAACACCACTTTTATCAGCGGAGGGTGTCGGGAAAAGACGAAAACATTCTTCCGTCAATCCATCGTCCAAACATTCATTAACGTCCCAGGGCTTCACCTGGCGAGCAGCTGGTGACCAAGGTTAGGCCACACGCTGTCAAAGACTACAAAAAACTCAATACTGTAGCGGCCTTATCTGAATGGGCTCAGATCTCCTTGAGTGTACACTAGATGTAACAGGACTGTGGAGATACTCCCACCACATCCTAGTTTATTCAGATTCATGTGATTCTGTGCCAATATCATTCTCACTAGAAAATGTAGTGATAAAAAGGCAGTTCCATGCCCACAAAGTAACAATATCTCCACTGGTTAAACAGTTAGACAAAGGGATTATGTGCCACGGGTGATTTACTATGCTGAGAGCACACATTATATATTAGAACTATATGTATAGAGCTGATCTGGTGAATGGGTGACTGTTCACTTAATGGGACTTAAACACTTAAAATGGGAAGAATGGGAAGAACATCCTTTTTTAAAACAGCACTACTGTCCATTCTGCCTGACTAATTGAACAAAACTGTTGTTTTCTATGAGCAGAGCAGGGGGGTCACACCCTGTCCTACTGTAGCACAGCACTTAACAAAAGCAACAGAGCGGAGGCTCAAGTGCCTGCTGTTGGTTTCAACAATACTGGAGCATTAATGTTGGTATTTACATACCTGCTGGCTTCGCCTTTGTGCCTTTGCAACATTCGAATAACTCAATGGACATCTTTCAAAGTCCAAATAAACCCAGAGAGGGATTTCAGGGATTAATTAGTACACAAAGTCCCTGAATGCAAAAACATAATGTGAAAAACATGCAGCGAATGTGTGACTACTCAAAGCATCCAAGCAAAACCTGTTTGTTAGTTGGCCATCAATCAACTTCCCAACTCAAACCACGTGGAGAAGCAAAGTTCAATAATGCGATGCCTTTATATGAGTGATGAAAACAGAGGGCAAGGCTCCTATGGACGGATAATAACAGTCGGAATATTTTTATATTAATTAAGAATAAAAGCTTTAAAACACTTTGTTTGAAAGACATCCTGTGACCTGGAGGATAAATAAAAAAATAAATCTTGTAAAAGTGGACCTTTCTGTGGGAGAATTTTTATGAAACTCAAGAAGCAGTTTCTGTTTTATCCTGAAAAAGTTTGAAGCAACAGCATCGCAGGTTTTCTCAGTGTCAGCAAACACCTGTGTGTATATATACGGTTTACAAAACGGTGGCGGACGCCACTTTGTGCAAAGTGTAGCAAAGCATTACAAAAGTCCAGAGGGAGAACATCTGCTACGGCACGGCGAATGGGAAATCCCCAGCGGTGGTCATAATGCCTCAGAATCAGTTAACGCAAGATGATCTCCAACTTACTTCTAAATCTCACTAATAAGTGATCGAGGAATTACTTTTTCGGGTTAAAAAGGGGAAACTGATCAATTGCTCATTTCCATCTAGGGGCATCAACAAGCACGCGGTGTACAAAATGGGACACGGCTTGCTAATAGTGGTGCAACGGGCCGCCGTGGATCTGCACGGTGTGAATGAATGAATTACGCAGTTTAACGTTCACTGTCACAGTGTAACATGAAGTTTTACAATTAATCAAACAAAGGGATCTTTAACTGCCAATGGGGATCATCAATGAACGGAAAGCAGTTTCGGCGGCAGAAAAAAACATTTGCAACATGGAACTCTAAGTCATTTAGTCTCTTTTCGCCTTTTGCACGGATCCGATCCAAACCGTGAGTTTCATGATCCGTTGCACATCGCTACTCAATAACCACAACTTCCGCCGTCATTTCACCTGTGGCTTTCTGGGATATGGCAAATATCGGCCCTGTTTATGAAAAATATAGGACAAGCCACTAGGTATACATCTTTGACTAGTTTCCGTAGCCAAGCTTATGAGGCACGGATTTTAAATGGTTTGAAGTTCAGCCCAAGCTCCGAGCCAAAAGGTGCAAGGCCCTGCGGAGTTGATCAGACGCCAACATACTAAAAGGTAGGCAATGTAAATCGTTCCCACTCAGCAAATCTAATCTCAAACACCACCAGTTGAAAGGACATGCATTAAATTCAAAGCGTGGTGGCCATGTGTGTTTATTGTAATCATTCAACAGTGTGCTGGACTGGAAAAGGTCAAAGTCTGAGTGGAGAAGGCTGTTCACTCTGAACCAAAATGAACTTAACCTGTTCCAACACACAACATAAAAGGGCCAGGTCACATCTTCTACCCCCCCCCCCCCCAAAAAAGGGAAGAACTGTATGTAATCTAAGCACCATGAATACAAGACTGGGATTCGGTGAGACAGCCACGAGAGTAGCAACTAAAACCATTTTAGCAGAACAACGTCGCGGAATGGAAGCTGTGTGTTTTATTCTTTCCAGACAGCAAAATAAATGAGTGAAGCAGCCAACTAGCCATGCATTTCTTACCCTGTCTGAGAGGCCATGGCCCCAACCACTGAAACATTGGGGAGGAGGAGGGAGGAGGATTCAAAAGGATCTCCCAAGGATTCTCAAGTATTCTCGTTATGACTTGTCAGCCTAAATTTCTACGCCAACCTCCTCCAGTGAAGACATTTTCTAAATGTATCTGTGGGCGTCGAGCTGGAAGAGTGCAACTAGAGTTTTCTTTACTCCACTCGTAGGTACATTGCATTTCCTTGGAGTGGTGACAAATCTGACTTCGAGAGGGGAGGAGACTGCTTGTTCTCGGGAGATACCACGTCGGCGAGCAGCGGGGGTGGTCGAAGTCGAGGGAAGCTGCAGGCTTTTGTTTCAGTCTTGAGGTTGAAAAGGCATGTGTGTAGATAGAAGGGACAGACTTAACGCTGAAGAAATAAATGAGTTTAGTGTAGGTCAGACTTACATTTATACTTACTTAAAGAAAGAGCCATTAGGTTAGACGGTTTACAGGGAGAAAGTATTAAGAGCTCATCAAGAGGGGAGCAGAACCTCACCTCTCTCTTGAGAATGGAACGATCCGCTTGGTCCCATAAAAGGAGATGTTATTTTACACCACCGGGCTTCTCCTCCGTGTGATGTCACGGCCCTCAGTAAGGCCCAGCCAATAAGGGCCCATCTTTCCGTCAACAACCTCCCTCCCTCCCCCACTACGCGGAGCACAGGGCAAAGCACCCTGTAGCCTGTTAAAGAGACAGTGTGCAGTTTCCGGCAGGCAGAGTGAAGAAACCGGGAGACATTTTCATCCTCCTCACATGATGATGACGACTGCGTGCTGACCAATACGTCACCATATTCCACAGGGATTTTATTATTTATAACTAGTACACAAACTGGTAGCATCATCCAGTTCAGAATATATAGTTGAACATATTTTAAAATGTGCCTGAAACTAGTACATTGCTTTGATTACTTTATATTATAAGTTTGTGGTTTTTAGAAGTTGGGTTCTGTTACTCTGATGTTTTATGTAAAACATCTATT